TTCTGGGCGGAGCAATGAATGTTTTGTTTTTATAATGCTGTGTGTGTTATTTCTTAATTTTTTTTTTGTCTGAACACGATATAAGAAGTTATATAATAATGCTTGGATTTTAAACTTTATTATAACTTAGTATGTTTTCCGGTTGAAAAGTGAAGTCAGTGCATTCAGATGGTCAAAATTTGAAATTCCCAGTAGTTTTTAAAAGCGATGAGAAAATCCAAAAGAATTTAATAAAAACAGGAATTTTTAAGCAAAATCTGTTTTTGGAAAAATCGTTACAAAAGGAATCAAACTCTCAAAAAAAAAAAACGTCTATACAAATGAAATGTTCACTAAAAATGTTCGCATACAGACTTTCTATGCACCACATAAATTTCAAAATATTTTGATTCATATTGAGCTATTAATAGCTATCTGCATATGGAATTTTCAATTATTATCAGTTTTTTTAAAAATTAATGTTGATAAAAAAATCAGGCAAAAAACTTGAAAATAATGTAATACAAAGTTCTCACGAAATTTAAAAAAAAATTTAGCGTAAATTTACAATAATTTTTAACGTCTGAAGTTATTTGCAAATTATTTTGGAAATATTATTTTGGAATTCATTAAAATTTTTCTTTTTATAAAGTTATATCTAAGATCTGAACATTTAATACAAGATTCCTCATTGGTTTGTCTACCTTTATCAAAAAAAAAATGTCTACCAGCAAGTCAAATTACATTTGTATAAGCCTTTAAAGTTCTAAGTCTTACAACGTTTATTAAATTCAAAATTTACAAATTATTTTTTAGTTAATAATGTATAAAATGTTCAATTTGTATAGCTAAGGTTTGAAAACTTAAAACTAAATTAAACTTAGATAGATAATTCTTTGTTGTACATAGTAATTTTAAGTTTGGATGAAATTACACAAAACTATTTAACGATTTTGGTTATTTTATTGTAATCTAAACATTTTATTCGTGGGTAGGTATTTGAAACTTTTAGAATAGTTACATTGTTATATTTTATGCACAAAGTGACATTTTCAAATTGAATTTTTCCTACAAATCCTACGAATTTAACCTACTGTAATTCTAATGGCTAATAGTAAAACAAATTACTTTCACAATAATATCATAAAAATCAGAACTATTTTTCTTATACAGTGGCTTTACATCATTGAATTAAAATATTAACACATCCAAAACTAAAAAGTTTACCGGAAAGTCAAACTAATTTTTTTATGAGGGTTTGAAGTTTAAATTTGTTTGACATTGGATTTTTATCCACAAATTAACATATTTCTATTTTCCATCGAACGACTTGCTTAATTTTGTTAAGTGTAAATCAAAAACAAGTAACCTCAGATACTTGACATTTTCACTAAATGTTTATTTTATCATTTTTAATAGGTACACGTTACAATTTTTAAATATTTTGAATCGTTCTATAGACATTTTCATTTGTTTTTAATTTAGATTTTGAGCTTTGCGAATGAATGTTTTTATTTTCAATGATTTGTTTTTTTATCTGTTACCAACATTTATGGTGATAAAAATTCTCTAATTTTTGAGATGAAAATGTAATTCTAAGGTCCTCATGAGATACTTTAATTGTAGTTAAAAAATGTTAAAGGTGTTATTGTTATGATCATATTTTATATGCATTTAAATTCAATTTTTAACAAAATTCATCAAAATCGTGAACATTTTCAAATTTTTTTTATTAAAAATTCATAAAAGAAATGTTTTCATAGATAACATTAGTAATTTGAACAGAAGATTTCCAATAAGTTTTTATTTGTTTATCATAGAAAACCAGAAAGTTATGCCATTTAAAGCTATGAAATATTTTCGTTTTTTATTAACTTTTATAAATGATTTAATTTGATTATTAATCTAAGTATGCTAGTCTGACATAACATGTCAGCTCAGAATATTTTTCTGTATGCTATGATTTACCATTGAATTCAAATATAACACTCTCATTAGGATGATATACTAGACAAATATTTTACTGCAGAGCAGTATTCAATTATCCACCTTCTAATATCTAAGGATTTAAAATTTAAAACAATGTTTCTCATAATACACAGTTCGTACTGTAACTTAAAAAAATCTCAAAATAAATAAACACAATTTTTTTATAGATATTTAGAGTTCAAATTATTATTCATTTAGTGTTTAATTATATTATTTTGTTGAAAGATTATTATTTTTAAATTCTTTGAAAATATTTAGTTTAATAATTAACAATCATAATACTTAAGAGTGCCGATTATATTTTAATAGTTATTAAATACTTAAATAGTTATTAAATACTTACATTGAAAAATAAAAATATAATTATTGAATGTATCAATAATCTTAAATAAAAGCAATAGTTCTTATAAAACTTACCTACAGATTACATAACTGCATGTTTAAAATAATTATGCAAAAATATTCAATGATTTGATTCACCTTGTATTGTACATTATATTGTCTTTACTCATTGTTATACAAAGCAACACAGCACATAATAATGCAATAAAAATAACAAAAACAAATTATGTATAAAATATTACGCTATTACTGATTTCTAGTCATAACGGCAAGTATCTAGGTATCTATAATATCCATTATTTAATAATCTAAGGCCATGTTAAATAACACCGTGTATGCACCGGATTCAAAACAGCCCGACCTTACATGTATATTTTATTTTTCCATAATTACTATTCACTGATAATTTTTAGATGATATGCAAATAATCAATAATAGAATTCCCTAGTATAATGAATATAAACTATACAGAAATCTATATGTAGGTAGCACAACATTATAAAAAATGTCTATCGAGCCACCAGGACAAATTCCTAATTTTGCCATAGTTAATAAACATAAATATGAGATAATCTTCTAATTATTTTTTATCAATTAATGGAAGAAGATTTTCTAAATCTTAATCATGTGGTTGTGCACGCTTAAAAAACTGTATTATGTTACAGTCCTAATAGTTGTTATTTAACCGACAAAAAAAGGACCATAGCAATAACTTTTTAGTAAACCTTTTTTTTGTCGATAAAGGTAGAGAATTTGTTGGGAGTCTTCTATAAAAATTTCTAATGTTTACTATAAAATATTAACTTTTATGAATTTTTAACAGAAAAATAATTAACATAATATTTGAAAAATGTCTCAGGCTATAAAAGAGTTGTGAACATTTTACCGTGTATGGAAAATACTAATATAAAGATTTGATTACAATTTCAAATGTCTACAGTTATAAGTTTTAATAAATACAACAAAATATCAAAAAATGTATTGTTAAGTCACAAGTTTTTTGTGTGATCGAAATTTAAATTCAACATTTGATATTCAAACGAAAATTATAACAATTTGTCCTCAACTGATTTCTGTTAATTAGTTATTATTTAAAAAATATTAATTGTAGAAACTTATACCTTATGGCCGACATTCCAATATTGCCTTCATTTTCATTTTCTATACTTCATTGGAGTTTTTGGACAATTCAGAATATTCAGAAAATGTTAAGCTATTTATAAACATTTAAAATGTTTGAATGCTGCAGTTTTAAATATTATTAAGAATGTCAGGGCTCGGTCTAAAAGTTTAAAAATTAAAATAAGATCTTATATAAGTTGTTCTTATAGAAATTAAAATACAATGGAATGATTTTTCATTTGTCATTGTAAAAAGTTCAAATTTTGTCAAAATCACAAAAATTATTTCGATGTTAAAATATATTAATTTTTTAATTTCTATAGCATAGGCTCAAGAATGTATTGTTAGATTCCTCATAAGGTCATACTGAAATCCAAAAATCTATAAGCACATTTTTTTTATTGAAATGTTGATTTTTTAATTTTATATTGAAATGAAAAATAAAGATTTTAGTTACAATACTGTTATTTAAAAATATTAATTGTCAGGGACTTCAAAATCGTACGTATATTATTATAATTTACTAAACACACTTTTAAAATGTTAGGATTTATTTTAATGTATTGCTAGATTTTTTTATAAACATTTGAATTTAACACAGTCTTAAAAAACGAATGATATTACAATAAATTATTTATTTTAATTTAGGAATAAAAATATATGAGGAATGTTGTATTAATTTTTTTTACTATTATTAAATGTTTTTTGGCAATATACACATTTATATAAATATATATATTTATACATTAATACCCACATTTATAAGTATAGGTGAATACTTAAAAATTGTTCATTTGATTATTTCTCATATTTTTAGTATTTTTTTGTGCATATTTATTTCCCTATGTCTGAGTGCTCAAGTGCATATGTTTCATAGTATTTGAATGCATTTAATTGTAACCCTCATAAAGATGGAAAACATATTGACTGAAAAATTTGTGGGGTAAAATACTGTCAGCAAAAATGTTGACCTATTCAACAAATATAATATAGCTCAAAATAATATTTATGTTGTCATACTGTTGAGTGTTAGTCAAAGTATTATTGGCTTTTATAGTAGCCCATATAAAATATATTTCCGTTGTAGTTTCATATACTATTAGGACAAAAGCTTAGAACTGAACAGTTGGGAGTCAAAAGTTGTCTTCATACGTTTTTGATAAGGACTAGCATGGAAGTAGAGAAAAACTGTGATTTTCTTTAGTTAAATGCTTGAAGCAGAGTTACCAAAGCTACTTCACTTGGTGATTCGGACAATTAGAATGGAAATGTATACACATTTTATATAAATAAACAGTCGCGGATCCAAGGGATGCTAAAAAGTTTCAACTTTTCCCTCAAGAGATAATGAATATGTTTAAATAATCAATTATAGTTCACACATCTTAAATTCCATACATTTAAAATATAAAGACAATTGTAACTGGTCTTATCAAATCTAATCAATAATCAGTTAATGAATTAAAATTGTCATGGAATTTATTCTAAAAAAATTTAGTCTCCACTCATTTTATTTTTAGATCCGCGTCTGTAAATATATACACCCAAATATATAAAAGAAAAAAATATAAATGTCATACATTTAATGAAATTTTTAACACTGACATCATACTATGTAATATGTGGACCATTTGTAATACAGAATTTAAAAAAATTTTTGTTACATTGAGATATGAATAACATCTTGAAAATGTTCTCTAAATACGTCAGTACCGACGGTATACCAGTAATAAGATAACACTAAGATATTATCACTAATCTAATTTGAATCTACACTTGTTAAAATTTAAAGTAAAATAAAAAATTTAAAAAATCAGTTGAATCAAACATTAAATTTATTAACGCATGTTTTTAATTTTTAATTTATTGTGATTTGTTTGACTGAGTAATTTAATGATACAAAGTATTAGAAACCATGGACCTTGAGTTGATCAGACTTGGCAAGACCACATTTAGTTAACCATTGGCAAATGTTTTCTCGCTGGTCCCCTTGTAATTGTAACACTTCACCATATTCCGGATGATCAACTACTGTGCCGTTGCAAGCAAACTCCTGAAATATTAAAATAATTTAAATTCATTTTCAAAATAGAATAAATTTATTAAAAGAGTGGTAATTATAATACCTATACTAAGGCTTTATAATTTAATAGGTATGCTATGCCACCATTTTGCAACTCATTTATCAATATAAAAATGATAAAATAAACGCAGGCAATTTCATATTCATAGTGATAAATGAGTCGAAAAATGGCAGAGTAACATACCTACCTATTAGTTATAGTGCAATCCCTATACAAGTTTTTTCAAATGATATATAATAATAAAACACAACATTTATATTTTTGAGTTCATAGTTTTGTACATTAAGTGCGTGAATAAACTGTCAGGTGAAAGACGCAGCAATAATAAACAGCCTGGGTAACCACATGCAACATAAACAAAACGCACTCACGTGAAATCATTTTTTCAAAAAATATTCTTGAGTAACTCTTAAGAGTAAAATCACTAACAATTTTTTTCTCTATTCTTGGAATAATATTTTTAAGGTTATGAAGTATAGATTTGTTAAAATATAATCCCAAAACAATTAAATATCAATTTAAATTTACAAATGTTTATTTTAGGGGTGTAATGTATATTCGAATAATCGAATAATTCGAATAGTGTAACCATGAATAATTTGAATATTCAAATACCTACTCGAATAAGTTGAATAATTAGATTATCAGTATTCGATACTACAAAATCAATATTAATCAATGTAAATAATAACAATAATATTATATTCAATGATATTTATTGATGAAATTTAACGTACAAGTATTTATTATTTGAACAAATGTATTATTTATTGAACAAATTATCGAGTAAAACTATTATTTATAAATGTATATTTATTTATCAATTATTATTTACTATTTATTATTTTTCTGTTATACCTAATATTGTATTATGTATTATTATTATATATTATTGTACAAAACTATCAAAACTTTGTTTTTAAAACAATTATTTAAATATTTTACCTATGTATACCTAACGGCTAACCCAATCTATTGAAAGAGTAAAGGAAAAGAAATACATGGATGGAGGGAGCGAAAATTGGTTAAAGAATTGAATAAATGTATAAGACTTATCATGGAAAAACAACTAAAAAAAATTATAGTATTATAGTATATAATTCAAATATTCGAATTCCAATAATCGAATAATTCCCATCACTAGTATATTTTATTTTTCTAGATGATTAAAAAGTCCAGTCAAATAATAATAAAATATAAAACTGATATGTCAATCCTTCAAAAATATTATTCTCTATAATTTTTTTAGTTGGGGATTTGACTGTAAGATTACTAAAAAATTATAAAAATAATTTTACGTGACAGCGTTTTATCTATGTTATGCCCGTATTTGAGAGAAAATAAATATTGAGCTGATCATATCATTAAAAAATATTGATTAGAACATTTTTTAATGAAATTAATTATTTTTAATTTAGGTAGGCTTATAAATTATTTTCAAGACACTAGCATATACTGTACTGATAATAAAACATAGATTTAATGTGACAAAATATTACACTATTGCCGGGTTGCATAAACGTTCATTAAACATTTAATGAACCAATAGCGCACTATTGAATGAATAAATTATTTAATGGCTCACTAAACGGTCATTAAACTTATTGGTTCCTTAAACTGGCGGTATGTATGTTAGCGGTAATGTATGTAACAGGTTATTTTATTTAATAACTAGTTATTCTATAAAATGCCTAAATATGCTTGTTAATAACTAAATTACATGGTTTTACTAGTTAATAAATAGAATACCAATTGGGTTTTCGCTAATGTATGAAATTTATATTGTTAAGTAGATATGCCATCAAAAGCGCAATACAAAACGGTGCATATGTTTAAAATATAATTGACTTTGTAACTCTAAATGCCACCCTAAAAGTTTATGCATTAATAAATAAATTCTAAATCGTAAAAAAATTACAATTTAATAATTGTAATTAATAATAGAATAAGTTTATAATTCTATTATATAAAACTATCCATAACTATTGATTTTTTATTTTTATTTGTATAATTTGTTTAAGATTTTAATAATTCTGATTTTTTTTGTAATTTTCACTAAAAATAATGCAAATAATACACTAACTAAACCCTTATTTTTAGTTTATAAAATATCTAGTTAGTATTTAGAATAATTAGTTAAAGCAGTGGCGTAATTGGGGTGTCGCAAGTGTCGCACTTGCAACACCAAACAATTTTCAGGTGTTGCAAAGGTATCATTTTGCAACACCAAAAAATATTTAAGTTCGTAATACCCCCCTTCGCACCATTCACCGTATTTAATACAATATAAATAAAATTAATAATACTAATACTACCTCACGGTAGCATATCAACGGTTGATACATAGATAAAAGATAATAATAATAATAATAATTGATATCACTGAATTCAAATAATTGTTATAATCGAGAAATCATAGTTGCAGTGTTATTGCACTTTTTTCATTGTTGTGTTCTTCGACCATAGACCTATAAATAGCTAATATTAGCTTATATGGTCGAAGGTTGTGTTATCGTCATACGATAGTGAATTTTGAATAGTGATAGCAATTAGCAACTGACAATTAGTAACAACCTCAGCCACTCCGCAGCTATTTAATATATGATCCACGCTGTATTGCTGTGCAGTCGCAACTCTTTAAGACTTAAGTCATAATAATGAGTTCAAAACCAATGGCATTTAATAAAAGAGGAGGACAGAAGATTACAGATTTTTTGTCAAAAATATCCAAGTCCAGTACTGGTAAGTAATTACAGAAGATATATTCAATATTGAACACCAAAAACCATAATGTTAATAGTTTATTCACACATGATATTTACATAATTTTGTAGAAGAAACTGATCCAACTAATCCAAATATTATAAATTCAAATACAAATACAAATGTAGTTCAGAAAGAAGTTACAGAAACTGATGGTCAATCAAATGTCAAAGAATGTAAGATTTTTACTAATTTAATTGGTTTATTTTATGTATATTATGTATGTACTATGTGTCTATGTAGTATATGTATTTTGAATTAATGTTCATTGTATTTAGTGAAATCAATGTTTGTAATTGCTTTTGTGATTTTTTTTTATGTTTTTAGACCTCATGATTAGTATGTATCCCAGATAGCAATTTTATAATAAGAGAATGTTATTAATCTGTTAATTCTTTGTTGCCTAAAAAATGCATATGTATATGTAATAATAAATGTTATTTTGTTTATTTTAATTGATTAAACAATAATATTTCTAGTACCTATGTATAGTAGGTACATTTTATTATTTTAATCAAGAAGTACAGTTTAATAATATTTTATATTACCCATGGTTGCCATTTTTACCTACTCGTGAAAAGCAAT